TTTTTTGAATTAAAAATAAGTTAATCATTTCATATTTTTACATTAAAACTCATTATACATTACATACTACAACTTTACTGTTCAACTAAATTGCATCTTTTTCATTATTAGTTTTGTCTGCTACTGCTTTATTTGGCATTTTATATGGCAATGGTGGAGGATCAAACTTGAACCGTCGCTCTTTTTCAATTTGCAAAATAGCATCATTTCTTTCTTTAATTACTGATTTAACAGCCAACATAGATTTGTTAACTTTATCTAATCTAGTTGGACCAGGCACAGGTATACCTAGTCGCTTAGCTTCTTGTCTCATTGTTAATAACATATTCTTTTCCTTTAATAAAACATACCAAAATTTATGAAGGTCACTATTGCTTCGTATTCGAAGTTCTGATTTTTTCCATTTTCTACCAATATTAGGATTTTCTTCAACAAATTTATCAGAATCATAAACGCCAGGAGGAAAGAACTCCGCTAAACTATTTAATTTTGAAGTTGTTGATAAAGGTCTTGCAAAATGAATTGGAAGACTCAATAATCTTTCTACGTTTGATTGAAGAAGTTTAAGAAGCATGTTTCTGCTTTTTAATTATAATAAATAATATTTAATTATTAGCTTTCTATTAAAAGAAAATATATATATATATATACATATATATATATATATATATATATATATATATATATATATATATATATATATATATATATATATATATATATATATATATATATATATATATATATATATTTATATATATATCAGAGATGTGGAGTCCCAAAAAGGACTCCGGACTTGAAAGTTACAAAAAGATTACTTCATCCTAGTTTTTGGTATCCAGGAGCTCTAAAAATATAAATAAAATTATGGACTACTAATAGGAAAAAAATTAGAACTTTTAGGTTAGAGGAACAATCATTTTTTGAAACCGGAGTCCTTAGGTATAATGGCAGTAAGGACTCCGAAACTCCAGGACTCCGGCTTAAAAACAATAATTTCCAAGTCATTATATATATATATATATATATATATATATATATATATATATATATATATATATATATATATATATATATATATATATATATTTCAATTTTTTTTAAAGTTAACGTTAGTGGAAAAGGAATAAGATTTATTTTGCCAAATAAAAGGTACAGTTATTTTATAAAATGATGATAATTAAACAAACTTATCTAGTTGAAAGTGGGGATGATTTTTTTTATTTGTTCGATAAAAATGAAGAGTTTTTTAAAAAAGAATTAAATATTTCAATTTTAGACTAAACTTCTTATTTATTAGAAAACATTCTTCTTATTAACTTCTTATAGACTTTCTTATAGACTAAAATCTCTTACGAAAACTTCTTTATCTTAATAAACTTTTGGTTTTATATGGAATATTCCATATAACTCCATCTATAACAATGATAAAATTAAATATCGAAACTTAAATATTAAAACTTTGTTTTTCTTAGGTTGTTTTTTTGTTTTGTTATATTACAAAAAAATAACCTAAGAAAAACAAAAATAAAAATAATGGTATTTAATTTTATCATAGTGAATTTTTTAACAAATATTTCCATATTTTACTATTATTACTATATATTCGAATATATAGTAATAAGAGTTAAATTTGGAGATATTTGTTAAAAAATTCACAATGATAAAATTAAATACCATTATTTTTTAATTTATATAAAGATATCGAATTTTGATGCAAAACGATTTATTTCCAAATTGCACCTTTGTGGGGTTTCTTGGAAAGGCGTTAAAAAACGACTTCACTGCTTAATTATAAAGTATAATTTGTCAAATCTCGAATTAAAGTATATTCTGAACTTAATTCTACCCAAAATAAATGCCTGTTGTGGTAATAATTGACTATAAAACAAATTATCTAAATTTATGTTTTTATTTCTTTCCAAATAGCCCCGATTTACGGTAATTTATATATTTAAGTTTTACAAATATTTCAATATAATATTGTAAAAGTAAAAAACCGGTCCCAAATATTGAATATTTGGGACCGGTTTTTTACTTTTACAGTCTAGACGAAAGTTTGAAGCACGAGCCATTTCCAAACTCCCCAGTCTCTCCGAAGTAAAAATTAAATAAATACGTAAAAACCAACAAATTTAATAAATTTCATTAAACTTGGTTGAAGTGTTCAAAACCTTCAATAAAAGTAATTTCGGAATAAAATCGATGTAAAAAAATAATAATAACTGGAAAATATATATATATAAAAGTATACAAAATTCTATAATATATTGAACAATTATACATAAACTTAAGTTGATAATGTTTTTTAAGTCACGACTTATGCAGATTAATTGTAAAACATTCATTCAACAATTCAATTGATTTGAAATAAGGTTGTTTTTGTTTTTGTTTTTTTTTAAACTAAAAGAAAATATATGCTTGAACTTCAATCTCATATTCTTCTTTAGGTTTTAAAGACCCTCATCTCAAATGATTTTTTCATTCGATTATGGCGCCCAATATTCCACAAAGTAAAAAAATCCTTTCCACATACTCCTGTGATGCTGAGGCGATCAACAAATTTTCAGCCAACATCAAACCTTACTACAGTAAGATTTCTTTTTATATGCTAAATATGCTAATCCAATTAACAAAAAACTGGGAAAAGCAAGTATATTGCTTTTCCCAGTTTTTGTTTTAGTGGATTTGCAGTTTATGTTTTAGTGGATTTACAGTAGACCTATATATGGGAAATTTTCAGCAATTTATTGGAGTTTTGCTTATCGGTACAGAATGGACCATTAGTGGACCATTAGTGACAGCCACTACAAATGGCTACCCGATAACCTTCCGAAATGTTAGTACAGGCTAGTCATCTATCTAAATGTTAAAGGGTCGCTTGATTATCTGATATAAGCTGTTCATCTTGTGGTGCGGCCAGTGATCACAGATTTCCCACACTTGTCAATGAGTTTTTTAATTGCTACACTTGATTTTATAATTGTTGACACAATTTGTCTCTTTTGTAAGATAGTTACACTACAATGTTAGTATATTGCTTTTATATAAGCTGGAGTGTGTGAGCCATACAGGGAATTTAACGATATGGAATATATATTGATATTGAATATGTATTGACATGAATAAATAAGATGGGTCAAAATAAAGTACGGGTATCTTTGTTATTTATTTCATGTTCAGATTATTCAGATTGAGAACTGTCAGTTTTTTATGGTTAATTGTTCTTCCTATAATAGTCTGATGGACATGTTAGATCCATTGTCTGAAACAGTTTACATAACTTAATCTTCTCTAATACCCCAATTGACAAGATATTTCTTTAAACGTTCTGAAGGCATCTTACCCCTGTTGGGTATTTAGGGTTATTTTGTTCTTTTGATGCACCGATAATAGTATATTTATTTTAGGGAATCCACTGCACTGCATCAAATTTAAATTTGGCTATCCCTAAAACATCACAAGTTTGGCGACTGGTAATTTCTATGCATTTTTAAAGGCTTATTTGTAACATAAAAAATTGTTAAGCATTATTGAATTTAAAATATTGTTTTTTTAAAAATTGAGTTGTTAGTTACCTGTTGTTGTAATTTTACGTTTTGAAAATTATTTTTTTGCATTTCGATTTTTGTTTTCTTCAGTGTATATTTTGGTGCATTCATTTAAACACAGATTTTTATCAAAAACTTTAAATTTTGAAAAAAGGTATCAAAAATGGGCTCTTACATATGGAAAATAATTTATCTGGAAGAAGAAATACTAGATAACTAGGTTCAGTTAGCTTTAAGACGGAATGATGAATAGTTTTTTTTAATTAAAGAAATATTGTCGGGTGGGGTAACTTGGGTTTATATGTCGATATGTGTTGTACCGTTTAGAATCTATTACTTTTGCAATAATAACTACTTTTAAAATGAAAATTAGCCTAAATAAGAAGTCTGACTAAACTTCTCGATCATTTTTCTGATGTTATTTTGCTTTTGATTCGTTTAGATGATCTTGAAAAATGAAAGTGGCTTGCTTTAGAAGCAAGAGATTTAGGGTTTGAATCAAGCTCTGGGAATGTTTCGCGTCATTGGTATGAAAGGAGGCGTGAACTTCCTAATTAAATACTCTCTCGCGGTGCTCTGTGACAAGACCGTTAGATTGTCTTGGTGTACCTAAAGCTAAAAATTTTGAAAAAATTAAAAAATCTAATGATACGTGTTCTCAATTGAAACTAGCAGATAACGCAGCACAGCAGTTTTTAAGCATTGAATTTTTATTATATAAACACATCATTTTTGTAAGATGATAAATCTATATATATATATATATATATATATATATATATATATATATATATATATATATATATATATATATATATATATATATATATATATATATATATATATATATATATATATATATATATATATATATGTATATATATATATATATATATATATATATATATATATATATATATATATATACATATATATATATATATATATATATATATATATATATATATATATATATATATATATATATATATATATATATATATATATATATATATATATATATAAGAAATTCGCAAACAATCTTTGTTAATTTTGGTTAAGTTTCCGCTTTAAATTCTTCCTTAAGCATAGTTTAATCATGCTTTGACTAAAGTACTTCGTCTTTAAAATTTTAATATCATATATTCAAAATGAAGAATTTTAAAGTGATTTATTTTATATATTTAGAAAAGTGGTAAAAAAAAATACAATGAAAATTGAACCACAAGAAAGCTTTACATTCTTTGGAAAACAGCTAAAAGAAATAAAATAAAAAATTATTTATTTTATTTCTGTTAGCTAAATTAAAGCTATTTTTTATTACTACTCGGTGTAGTTAAGGCGACTTACAAAATATTTGAATACTTTTATTTGGAATTAGCATAGTTATGTCAGCATACTATGTCCAAACAACATCTTTTTTTTTAATTTTTTTTTGCTTGAGGTTTTAATAATATTTAAAGAAACTTTTTTTTTTTACATATAATTTTCTAAACCTTTTTACTACCCGTAATAGTAAATCTAAGTAACACTATTTTGGAGTCTTTAGATTTAACATTAACATGAATTTAGTTAAAATCTTTTGAAAAAATTCCTTAATTTACAACTGATCTTAGTTCTAATTGGTTCTGACGTATATTAACTATATATAGTTGTCAAAACACAATATTTCTATCAATTTTCACAAAAAATACTAAAATTCCGACCAAGAAAGAGCTTATAATTATGGAAACTTGCCAATAAACGATCAGAAAAGATCATATCATTAAACCATAATGTTAATTTCACCTAAAAAACGTATTAATATAAAATCTTATTCAACTTTGAACGAGCTATTGTGATTTTAAGATGATTTAAAAAAAAATAAGAATCTTCGGTCTGGGTTTTTTCGCTACAAACAGTTATATTTTATGATACCACAAAATTTATTATTTTAATACTTTTCGTCTTTTCATAATTCACAGACCAGACCATTTAACGGAAATATGTTGTAGTCAACAAAGTATCATACTGACGCTATAATATTTTAAAAGTTCCTTAACTACACCGAGTACCTTGATGCTTGAACATGTTAAGTTCTTTTTATGTTTAAACATGTAAAGTTCTTTTGATGTTTAAACATGTAAAGTTCTTTAACTTTTAAATTAACTGTTGAAGTACTGCTATGTTTATTATTTCGTTTGATCAAATAATTAAACCTGTCATTTCAAAAAAGACAAAAGTCCATTTATTAAAACTTTTCAAAATCAACAAAAAAAATAATTTTTATTAAAAAAATATATGCGCTGCTAAAGAAATTAAACATTGGAGTAAATAAATAAAGAACCTATATAACTATGTAAGTTTTATTTATTATAAAAAAAACACAACATAAATCATACAGAAATTTTTATTTTTAAATTTATAAACTAATTCGTAAAAGTTTTGGACTTGTGTCCTTTTAAAATGATAGGTTCAATTTAAATATGATACATATTTACACAATAAATAATTTAAATATGATACATATAATATTTTATCTAACAGACTACAATTATATTAAATAAAATTATATAAGTAAAAACATTTAACTTAGACCCACATTACCCCACTAAACGGGGTAATGTGGATCTGTTAAATACAATCAAATCGGTGCTCCTTAGAATATTTTTAATTTTATATACAACTTTTTTCGTCTAATATATTAAACAATGAAACCAGGCCATGAATGCATCAAACTAATGACTTTCTTTTATTAACTATTAAAAAAATGGTTATTTTAGAGTTTTTGAGTGTGTTTTTTCCCAGCTTTTACATAAAATTCAATTTACTGTAACTTGTTTTAGTAAACCGATTAAATACGTTTTAATATTATTTATTCTTGCAAGCTTTTGATTTTCTTCTTTTTACTTTTTTTGCTTAATACTTTTAAAATATTATTTATTCAAAATTACTCCAACACTTGGTTCCATGTCGTACATTTGTAAATAATTTTTTTTTTAGGTTTGAATCTAATGTGCATCGAGCTGTTGGTTAAATGAGCAGTCCATCAAATGCCACATCGTTAAACCAACATTTCGGTCTAGTATTTGAGGAAGAAGCTGCATATTTTTATGACCTTATTTAAACCAAATAAAAATAAAAACCTTTTCAGAATGTTTGTATGAAATATTACCCTCTTTATATAAATGTTTATATTTCTAATTTTTGATAAGAAGAAGAAAAAAGTATAAACCATAAATACAAGCGCCTGTCCATAGTTGAATAATCAACCCTCAAAGCGGCAAAAGGATTTCTTTACTTATTTGGCAACTTTCCTTTATCCTACGTATTCTACGAGCATTCTACGTAAATTCTCAAACATGCAATAGTTTTACTTTATGTAACTTCTTTACTTATATGTATTTGTCCGTTTACAAAAAAAAAAAAAATTAAATTTAAAATTGATTGTTTTTTAATGGTCTGAGATAACAGTGCCGACGACACGAATTTTGAAGTGGAAGGGTACAATCGTCAATTTTTATAATTTGAATATCCATGAAATGTGAAAAAATATAAATTCATTTTTAGCTTCACTAAAAAAAAATTATAACTCATCTTCTGTATATTTATATTTTTCATCTACTGTAATATTTATATTCTTGGATAGTCCTGAGTTAATAATATCTCAAATTTTTCTGGATTTAAATATTTTTACAAATTAAATAACTGTTTATGTTTAATGTCAGTAAACTTTTGAAACATTTTTTTGACTATTGGCGTATTTTCATATATTATGGCGTATTTTTACTTTAATATTGAAATTAAGTCTTGTTTTTCTTTAGCTAATAAAACAATTATATTGTACACAACAAAAGATACTATTGAGACTTCAGTTAATCTCAAAAAGTCAATTATCTGTTCTTTGTTTTTAATTTTATTGTCTTCATTTATAAAATTTTTTTTTTTCTACACACTAAAACCCGTTAATATTTTTAAAAAACATAACGTCAAATTTTGTGTTTTATATCGGGTAATTGCCGTAAGTTCAATGTATAATAATCGGTATTTGACGTTATGTTTTTTCATATGCATCATTTGGTATATTAAATCGAACAAATTTGTAGAGGAGGATTCATCAAATGGCACAAACTGTTTACAATTGCTTAAATAGCATTCTAGTAATTTTAGAAAATTACCCATGACTCCATCATTTTTAAGCTTTTTTTAAAAAAGCTTAAAAATGATGGAGTCTCAATGATCTATCGTATCAAAGATACGATAGATCATTGAGACTCCATCATTTTTATTAGAATACTTTTTATTGAGACTCCAAAATGATGGAGTCTCAATGACCTATCGTATCAAAGGCATTTGATAGATGAATGAATACATAAGAGTAAATTGTGATTTCTCAAACAAATTTAAAATATTTTTAATCAGATGAAGCACTGCGTGTTATTTTTTAAGTCATATTGACTGGTGTTTTATTTATAGAAAGATGATCATATATATTGTAGTAAAGAACCCTTTCAAAAAACCTGAAAGAGTATACTTTTTATGATCTCGTAAAAACTAGTTACTACGTTACCATTTATTTATTTGGGCCTCTCCTTTTATTACTTTTTAGCATTTTATTATTCAAACTCATTTAAGAAAACTTCAAAGTTACTTAGTATATATTTTCGCACAAAGTAAAATAGTTTATTTTTTTAGTAATAATTAGAATACTTTTTATTAACTTTGAGCCAAGAGTTGCAAAAAAAGTTTTTAGTTGATTTGCTACTTCTTTAGGATTATATAAAAAGTTATTATTGGTTTTAATAACTTTTGGTATGTTATTAAAACCAGTAATTTCATTTAATTTTCTTATATGGGCTTAGCGTTACGTTTCAACTTCTCTAGAAAGTTTAAGTTTCAGTAAGTTTGAGTTAGTTTGAACTAGTTTGAGTAAGTTTAAGTTAGTTTGAGTTAGTTTGAGTTGGTTTGAGTAAGTTTGAGTAGTTTTAAAAGTTCTATTAACGACTTTAAAGTTTGAAGTTCAAATATACAAGTTTTGTTTAATTTTAACGGACTTTCTGAAGTTTTTTGGTAATTTATGGCGTCTTTTTGCCAAGGTCAATTTTTAACCTCTCCCTCATACCTGCATACGTACTTTATAGAAGACCCTAGTCGGAAGTTTCTTGGCACGGCTTTCCTATATGGAAGCTTTAATTAGTTCGGACGTTAACGGCATATGGAACACTTGTAATGGCGTATTTTTACGTTTAACAACAACACGTGTTTCCAGATATAGTCGTAGTTCACATTGTTCAATAATATTACAATTATAGATTTTTATAATCAAATGTAAAAAAAATAAAGAAAGCCAATTACAATATGGCATCTATTTCAAATCTGATTCAAGTCAAGTCAGAAGCTGTTGACTTCATAGATATTGAAGCAAAAATTGTTGATCTTTGCAAATCAAATCTAAAGGGAATAGTTGATAGCGATGTAAAAGCTGCACTTCACGATGTTTCGACTCAACAATATGTTAAAGCAATTAATCGCCTTTTATCTACAGTATGCTAAATTTTATTATCTATTCAAGTTATTTATGATTGAATAATTTTATCTGTTTTAGTGCAGGGTCCTAGAAAATATTTGTTTAAATTTTATTATCGATTTTCATACAGGAACCAGTTATAAAATTTCTAATACTAACATTACTAACTAAAACAATAAATATACATTTTTTAAATAGATATTTGTAAAACTAACTTTTTCTGAAACTGTTAGTTTTTAAATACTGATTCCTTATGATAGTACAATAGTTTTAGCAGTTTAAATATAGATGTTTATGCTTAAAATCAGAGTACTCGACGCTCCAAGAAAATAAGTTTAAATTAGTAAATGACCAGTTAGCCATTCCAGAGGTTTTTTTTTTTTTTTTTTTTTTTTTGTCAATATATTTATATATAATTAGCATAGTTAATTATATTTATTTATATATAATTAATAGTTGTATAGAGCTTAAAAAAACTTAAAAAATGAGTAGTCTTTTAACTTTAGAAGTTAATTGTATCTAGGGTTACCAAACAAATATCAATATTTATTGTAATATAAATAAAGATAATGACAATTTTATACTAAAATTGTTTAAAGTTAACAAAAGTTTAAAGCAGCTGTGATGTTGTGACCATAGCAACTAAGAGTTTAGGCCATAGCAACTAAGAGTTTTGGCTTCAGAACTGGAGATCCTTGGTTCGAAGCCAGCTCTGGTCATATATGTCATATATGCATCATTGGTAAGAAAGGAAGTGAGAACTTCCTGGTTAAATGCTTTTTCTTAGTGCTCTGTAATAATATCGTAAGGTCTTCTTAGAGCATCTAAATAACTTTAAAAAAAAAAAAAAAGTAGATTTATACCTTTTTCAATATATATTCTGTTGAAAAAATAAATTTTGGAAGAAGTGGACTTAGCTAAAAGTATTAAAATTATATTAAAAAAATTAAAAAAAAAAATCAGCATCATTAGTATTTTAAAACTTTTTATAAATAACTATAATACGTAATAAATAATAATTAGCCAACAAAATATAAAAACATGATAGGGTTGACATCTTAGTTGGATTTGTGTATCATGCAGGCTGTTTAAAAAACAGTTTTTTAAGTTAATTTTACCCTATGATGTTTATCGCAAAGTATTTATATTAAACTTTTACAATCCTAATTTAAATTTTACTTATGAAACTTATCTATTTTGAACTCCTTGCTTCACTGCAAAAGTATGAAGAATTTTTTTTTAATTTAATACATATTGTCTTGTATTCATATTAAGTTAGGTAAGTCCTGAAAATTTTATTTATTTTTATAGTCTCTGTTTGCATATACTACAATTAGCAATGTTTAATTTATTTTTAAAAGGTTTGTAAAATGCAAAACCAACATTTAAAAAATCTGCAGTTGTTGTAAATAAACATTTATTAATGCCTGTTGCTAGGGATCATCTTTTTCCGGATATTTCTGGAATTCCGGATATTTTTCTTAACTTTTATTTTTTCCGGATATCAAAAATGTTTTCCATTCATACAAGTTTAGGAAGATATTTTTGTAATGTATTTATTTTATAGGCTTTTTCACTCATCACTCTTACAAAAATTAAAAAAAGTTAAAAAAAAAAATTAAAAACAAAATCAGGCGAAAGCAAAATTAAGAAAAATATAAGGGAAATATATTCCGGATTTTTTCCGCATATTTTACCCTAATGATTTTCCGGATTTTTAAAATATGACCTGGACAATCTATGTGTTGCTGTGTACACATTTAAGTGTGTTTGATTTTGATAACAGTTTTAATTTATTTTAGAAATAAAATAGTTTTAAATAAAAGCAAAGTAGAATAAAAAAGAGTATAAAGTAATAAAAATTAAATTAGAATATTAAAATAAAAAAATTAGGTTTAAAGAAGATTTCAAATTTTTTTATTTACAGATAAAATTGTTGTTAAATTAATCACTGATACATTATAAACATACAATAATATATATCGAATATATAACATATTTAAACATACAATTGTATATAAAATATTTGTATATAATAACATAAATTATCGAAAAAAAAACTTCTTCATATCAAAGTTGATGCAACATAAACAATCATCAAAGCTGTTTATGTTTAAAATTTCTTAATTTTCTTTTTGCAAGTTAAACATCATTTTTGCATCAGTTTAACAAGATTGTTACAAATGTTATTTAGTTTGTGCTTTAATTTGTTTGTGGATTTATGGATCTTAAATAATTCTTAGTCTTATGGGTTTAGACTTTAAGTAATCTTTTGTCTATCCATACACAATATAATTAAATATAAATCTAATGATTGAGCTGGTTAAGGCATTAAGTCAATAATATTAACAGGCTTTTTTTTAAATAAAAAATGCTTAATGCATTAGCTTAACATGATATTTGACGTCATAAAATTTTCTTTATTTTTTAATTATGTTTTATTTATATTTTTATTTACTTTTTTCAATTACTGCAATAATACTAATTACTGCCAAACAAGTCAAGTTATTTAACAGCTTTTTTATTATTACTATAAAAAATGTTTATTTATTTATTTTTTTAATATTTTTAATGAAATTTAATATTGCATTTTTAAAAATATTTGATATCAACAAATTTCTTTCTTTTCTCGACATTGGCATAAATGAATTAAAATATGTTAAATTTTTTAAATTTAAAAATTATTATTACTTGAATTTCTAATTGTGGCTTTGCAACTACAAATGATTTCTTATTTAAAAAAAAATAACGAGTAATATGGTAGCAACTGGTAGATTGGCTCACATAGAGATTCGAGAAGAGCATAAGGAAGCTTGCAAAGAGTTAGTTAAGATTGTAAGATCAGCAGTTGCTAAGTATGAAAATGAAATTGCAAACTCTTTTAAAATTGATCCAAAACGGCTTCATAACCAAGTCAAGCAGAAGCAAATAGCAAATGAAATGGTTAAGTCACTAGAAGACAATGATGAAAATTTTACAAATGATAGTCATAAAGTTTCTCATTTACTTAACATATATTTTCAGTCAATACTTGTTGTTGAACCATTACATCAGATGCCAACATTTCAGAACCAAACAGAAACAAAATGTGTCCTGGATGTAGCAGAACTAACAACTATATCTGTTCAGAAAAAGCTAGAAGAGCTCATTGAAACAAAGTCAAAAGACTGCGATAACATACATCTGCGTGTTCTTCGACACTGTGCTACTGCAATAGCTAAGCCACTAGCTATGATTTTCAAAAAATCCCTGGCTGAAGGCAAAGTCCCTTTTAGAAGTTATCAAACGTTACTCCTATTTTTAAAAATGGAATCCGTAGAAAATGCTTGAACTACAAACTAGTTTCTCTCACATCAGTACCCTGTAAAATATTGGAAAGTTTTAAACACAAAAAAATCCTGAAACATTGCCTTGAAAAAGGGCTCTTTACAAAATTTCAACATGGCTTTCTTCCAAGACGCGGCTGTACAACCAACCTACTAGAGGCACAGGACATAACAACATAATCATAACATAACATAATCATGCCATAGAAGTGATTTACACAGACTTTGCTAAAGCTTTTGATACCAGCATCTACTTTTAAAACTTGATGCATACGGCATCACTTCTGGATTGGATAACTGGCTGGTTAAAAAATCAAAAACACAGCATACATTAGACCTCATCTCAAGTATGCCATCCAAGCCTGGTCTCCTCACCTAAAAAGTGACATAAAATCACTTTAATGCATTCAACAGCGAGTAACAAAGGTAATAAGCGAGATAAAACACAAAAGCTATGAGGAAAGACTGGCCATACTCAATCTTACCACTCTAGAAAAGCGCCGAAAAAGGGGCGACCTCATTAAACAGTATAAAATCACTAACGAAATAGAAAAAATAGACTTTGTAGTTCCTCAAGTATATGCCCAATCGCTATCAGATTATAATTTGTGCGGATATAATCAGCGACAATCATGGCAAATTGTGAAATCTTGCCAAGAACGAGATAATTATTTTACTAATCGAGTTGTTAACAACTGGAATAGGCTACCAGCACATGTAGTCAATGCAAGTTTTTTAAATGTAGTCAATGCAAGTTTTTTAAAAGTTGATTTGATGCACTTTCAAAGCTCACTAGAGTACACTGTGTGTCCCAAATTATGTCATCATAGTGATGCCTGATGCTGCACCACTTCATCAAAGTTTACAATTCAAACTTTATTCTTTTATGATGTTTTTTTTTTTAAATGGCTTATAAATTTTCAATTTATAAATAAACAAATTCAAATTCATCATAAAAAAAATACATTAACTTTTTTTTTTTTCATTTTTGCTTCCAATAAGCCTGCAAGCAACTAATACAAGAGTTGGAAGTTACTGGAAGAGAAAAGATGAAGTTTATAGAGCAAGATAACAATTAATACATGGCTTAAAAAATTGCAAATCATATAAATCAGGAAAGCAAAATGAAAAAAGCTAATTCCAAAGAGCTGATGTTTTAAAAAAAAACTAGACGAATAAGAGTTTTTGGAACACTTAGAAACAGTCACAGAAATAGGATGAGATTTAATTGAATGAAGAGTAACACGAGAATGAATTTTAGTAGATGGCACAAGAGACGCTAGCTCTTTAGAACAGTGTCCATTATAGTATTTGTAGAAAAGAGAAAGAGAAGCAATGTTATGATGATCTGATAATGGTGTGAGGTTGGCTGCAAGAGCAGGTCTAACTATGTTTACAAATTGTTTTTCACCTTGTCTAAAAGAAAAAGAGCATCATTAGAAGATCTGCACCAGATATGGCAACAGTATTCCAAAGACAGATTTGAGATTTTTAGAGATAAAGGATAAAATCCGGAGTAAGAAAGTGTCAAGCTAGATAAAGAGATGCAACCTTAGCTGATGCTAATTTTGTGATAAATTTGATATACGGTTTTCAAGAAAGATTGGAAGTAAGAGTTGTTACTTGAAGATGAAGGGTAGTTGACTTATCAAGTACATTACCATTCATAAATATAGGAAAACTATTGCGAT